TCATGTTCAAGATTTACTTGGGTCGTCGGACCACGAAAAACAGGCCCATTCGTCGTCGAGAGTGGAACCATCCTCGTATTGCTCACAGTCCCAGTCAGTATAGCTGCCGTGTACGTTCTCCGTCTCTCTATACGCAGCAGTCCATCTAGTAGCAACTCTCCACGGACAGAACGCATACCTTGCAGTATTCCTCGTCATAATTATGGTCATCAGTATTGCTGTTGTCACTTGTGAGCCGTGCTGGATACTCTTGCAACTTCCGGTCGATCACAGAAATTTCACTTCTCGCGCTCACGGTCACTACTATCTAGTTATATCATCCGTCCCTTCCAGATATTTTACAGTGAATATGTGTGCTCTTTTTACATCAGAATCCATTCTTTATTTTCACGCGTCGCATTTAGGACCAGAGGGAATTGCTATAGGCAACCAGGATTCCCCCGTTTTCATTCTCGGGTATAACTAAGCCGACTAGAAAAAGTCACACGTCGCAGCCCCGTCCAGCGTTTGTTTATCTCTTCCATCAGCTTTTCGTTATTCTCCGTCCCTATCTCAATCACCTCGAACTCTTCGACATTTGGAAACAACACTGAAACCGGAATAACCCTCTCTAAATTCGAAGCCACGGAGCACCGCGTTGACGCCAGTTTAGTAATCCCAGGTAAAGTGAGTCCCGAAATCGTGTCCCACGGGTGCTCAAACGGCAGTTGGACGCAAGAAACGACTGGTAATCGTGATATCCAAGAAAGGACACGCCGGATATCAGGCCTGTTCTCATTCCACTCGCAATACAGTCCAGGACCATCGCATTCATGACATTCGCACCCAAGCACGACGACTGACTTTAGGCTGGGAAACGACCTTGGTCTCATAGATGGCAATAGATGCTCCAAATTACGCATGCCCATGACGATAGTATGCAGATGTGGAAGACGCATGTGTACAGTGTGTAGCCATGAACGTGGTGCGGCAATATCTCTCCGGAAGAACGTCAAATCCGTTATCGCTGTATGGCGAGAGAGGAACGAGGATAGATGCTCTGGTGTAAATGAGCACGAGTCGAACGTTATGTGTTTGAGGTGAGGGAGGCGTAGGGACAGGACACCGTCCGATTTCTTTTTGTATAAATCACGGATATATCGGAGTGTCAATGATTCGATGGGTGATGCGCGAGCTGAACGGAGGAGCCAGTCAAGGTAGCATGCTGAACCAGAAGGGATGCACATGGATGTGAGAGTGGTAAACGGTGGAGGACGGAACGCGGCCTCCTTCCAACTCATCGGACATTCCCAGCCATTCCGAAGGCACTTGAATGTTACGCATCGTAACCGGACAAGGCGTTCGCAGAACCTGTGAAGGGTGTCCAAATAGATCCGACCGCTCTGGCAGACAATACATTGATTAGTGGTTGGTGTGAAGTCGATATGCAGGCTAGGATGTTGTTTTGGGGGGATACTCCTGTGATATCGTAGGACCTCGTCAAACTCCGCCACGAAATTGAGGCTGAACTTGAGTGTCATCGATAGGATGTATGGCGTTGCCAAGGAAAGACGAAGGTAACGCAAACTGGAGAAGTTACACGGAGCGCCGGTAATTGAATATCCTCCAAATGCGCTGTAGTCATTTTGGACTTCGTGCCATGGGCCGAGATAGTGCCGCATTGCTACTGCATTCAGTCCACGAGAAACACGTGCAAGTGAGAGCAAATCCCTGCGTTCGACATGGTTGAAGACTGCGTATAGGAGCTCGTTTGGGAGGTCTGTCAAGGTTGACGCTACCTGGAGTTCGTGCTTCATTTGTCTGGTTAGAGCAGCTATGCCAAAAATTTGATGAGACGTGACTTGGGAACAGGATGGAGCTGGTGGTGGTGGTTGGTGTAGAACAAAAAAGCCTCCTATTTTTCGTGGTAAGACAGTCGGTCCGGACCCGGCCTTCAAAAGTGCGTGATTCCTTGTTTAGGCTCACTTTTTCTGTAGATCTTGTTCAATGTTACCACCTCCGAGTTGACCTTCTAGGCTAGACGATGTAGGGTGTACATGCCCGTACACAGTTTGGTGGTAAAGTGTGTACACCTCTGGGTTCGAGTCCCGGTGGGCAGCATATTGATTCGAAACTCCTTCTGCCATGTTTTTCTCCAAGAACCATACTGTAACAACATACATATTGTCTCTGGTTCGACCTGGTATTCACGGAGAGGGAGGATGCTGTGTGAGGAACATACTCAGTGCCGAGTATGGCTTCATGGTTCCTATCAACGTGGTACGCTCGTCCAACTAGTGACAGGATTAATCCTAGGTTTAATTCCTGGGTCCAGTAATTTGAACATTGACAAAACTTTTTGCTACAGACAAAACTCTGCGAGGGATATGTAAAGGTACTGGAAGAATTCTTTTTTGTCGGCTGGGTGGATATGAACAAGGTTTCTCTACATTTGCGTGGCCTTTGCACTATTGCAAGCCAGGCATATTGAATGGGGCTGATGAAGTAAACAGATGCTAGGAATGAGTCGCGTGAAGGGCGAGGATACAAGGACAGTGGCTCAGCGCCGAAGAAGGCTTCATGTCATAAAGACAGTGATAAAATTTCCTATTTTTGAAGAACGATGTTTCTGCAAAGTGCAGGCTGGGGAAGGACTCAGGGCACCTGTTGCGGTGGCCTTGCACTATCATCATATTGAACGGAATTGATTGACATGCACAGACCTTGGGTAGGACATTGATTCTTGACCGGTCCGCTGGGACGTCGTTATGATGAAAGCAAGCCTTAAAGGTCGAGGATACGAGGAGGCTTCAGGGAAGGACTGACTGCTGACATGGGTAAAATACAATGATGCTCTGGCACTTGTCCTCTAGATAGAGTCTGCACATCCGGTCGACGGCACTGTAGCGCATTGCGCAAGTCGCTAATGATGTTGGGTCCATCAATCTTGATGGTGAATGAATCTCTTTTGCGGCAGCCAAACGTCGGGATGTGGTGTGTTCGAACAGCCTAGTCATGGGTATCTAGTATACGACCGGAGCGTTCCTGTGAAGCGTTCGTGAAGAGGCTGTACGTCGCCAGATCAGGCCGATCTGAGCCTCGACGCGACGTGATATGCACGTGATCTCGGTATTTCCCTTTTCGATTCGAGGCGGTATCAGGTACCATGCGGGCGAATTATGGTTCTTTTTCATCGTTGGACCCTTCCTCCACCTTCCACCCTCCCCCGAACCTCCTTTCCTCTCACTCTACCCTTTCCCGAAGTTCTGCTACTTGAGTTTTTCCATCTTTCGTTAGGTACGCTTAATTATGACATATCAATTGATGTAACTCGCCTCATTGTTCTCAGGACCATCTTTTCACAGGCGCTCTTTCTTCCCGACTGTCACGGCATTTAACTGTGGCTCTGGGATTCATCCTTATCGTTGCTGGAGGGTGTATTAGATTTCGTGGTCGAGGTGGTTGGTGAGCTGGCAATACGTGCGTCGTCTTTCGCTTCGATATTGCCCCTGCTAACCGAGCACCAGTGTATCATGTCATCAACGACATCGTCGTCGTCGTCGACACCCACCGTCTCTACAAGCCCGTCTTCTACTGACAAGCGACCGCTCATCGCAGGTGTAACCCTCGCCTCCGTCGCCCTCCTCGTCATCGCCATAATCCTATTCTTCACCTTCCGACGCCGCAAATCCTCCGGTTCAGGCTCGGAAGACTACATCTTCTCCAGACACGCTACGATCGTCGACCGCTCCCACATCGCCTCGCGAATAACGCCCTTTGGCGCACCAGGTGGAGAGACGCCACAATTTGGTGCGTACTATTTCCGTTGATGCAGCTGTTGGCTGTACTGAGAAGCTTCTTCAGTGCACACGCCGGGCTCTAACATGCGTATTGCGAATCGAAGATCTGACGGGGTGTGGACGTTCTCTAATCCTCGAGCGCCGTTCACACCTCAAGGCGTCGGTGACCTTGCGCCCGCGTCTCCCTGGTCCCGAGATAAGAAGGGTTTCCGTAAGGGCGCCTTTGATGCCTACGAGTTCGAGCCCGATCCGAGCGTGCTGCCACCCCCAGCGTACGCTTACGGAAACAAAAACAGATACCTCAGACAGTGATCGCCTTCCCCTCCCATTATAATGAGGACTAATTTATGATTTTTATGGCTGGATTTATTCTCGGATTTAACTTTTCACCTTCGCTTGCATTATCGCTTTCGTTCGCATCTTGCTTTCTTGTTTTATTTGATTTTACTGATTCATCGCACTGTTGATACCCACACACATCAGCTTCTTCAATTCAATTTCTTTTACTTTGTCGTAATGGAACCGCTGTTTATCATGATCTACATCCAATCGATGAAAGGAACTGTTTCTTCTCGTCATTGGGGCAACACTAGGGAGCCGTCCGTTCGGCTCATTCTCGGAGTGGGACAACGTGCACCAGACAACGATGAGCGAGTAAGCTATGTTGCAGTAAACCTGATATGCTTCGTTCTACCGCAGGTCACCTGTGATTATATCGCCTTGATCAACGGCTTCCTCCTACAGTGCCTCGTCAAGACCACATAAGCGAGTATTATCTTCCGAAATGCAGAGACAATACTGGTCTCCTTCATGGGCTTTCCTGGCGGTGCACATCAGCAAGAAGGCGATTAAAGAGCCTCTCTTCCGACGTTCGAATTTATCATCTGATTCTCCTCGGACCTGTATTTTAGCGTAGAATAAAAGGGGTATGAAAGGATTCGGCGTGTAGATAGATGTTGCTCGCTTCGTATTGTCAGTATAAGTACCATGAACACAGGCGAGGTACTCATACACGATGCGAATGTGAATTGCTAGCTAAATTGTCGTGTCATGTAATGATAGCTTCGCACCGGCTCGATACCAGCCAACCAGGCAGCGAAAAGGCATTATTTAATGCTGCCGCTGCCATGTGTTACAGTCCGTAGTACTCCGTGCTACACGTGTCACGCAAGTGAAAGTCGCAGTGGAGGAGCAAAAACAAATACCCACACTTTCGCAGGAAGGCACTACCAGGGTTCGAACCTGGGTTGTGGGAAGGACTGTCCATATGGAATCACCGATCAAAATCCCAAGTGCTGCCACTACACCATAGCACCGACGATGGGCAATTCACAAAAGTAGGGATCGAGGTTGGGATTACTTCGCACGTGGTCGTCTCCATAACATAAAACAGTGTTATCCCGGCGTCCCGCATGCAACGACTGGTTTATAGTTGCCGTATCCATCCTTCTCGGGATATTCCACGGCCCAGACTGAGTTTCTCGGGAGAAGACGCATGTCCCTCGGGAAACAAATTCGGGATGTGCTTGCTCTCAATATGATCGACAGCGTGTGCTTGGTGACCTGCTTTTCAGTGGTAGCCTTCTTTCCGCGGTGGGGATCATGAATTAAATATCGGTACCGAAAGTCGGAAGTCCAGTTTTGTTTAGTTGCTAATCATTCTTGCGCTTCGGATAGTTCTCCCACCATTGCAAGGTGATAAGCAAATGGAAACCCTGCAAACCGTGGACGAAGATGCGAGTATCGATCTTCGTCGACGCATCCACTGCAGGAGAACGTTCCACGTTTGCTGTCCTTCCGGTCATACCTGTAGGTCCGTAGGGCCACCGGTAAGGGCAATGAAATCAAAGGGCAATTCAAAGTCAATCAGAGCCAGAAGAAAATATCTGTAGATTGACCATAGTTCAAAACAATGCCTTTGTCTTCTTTGGCCGGGGCGCTACTTCTCCCAGATTAAGAACAGGACTTGTGAACACTTGGTATATTTGAAAGTAGGGATGTTGAAGCATTTTGAATAGATGCGTAATGTAACAGCCAGTAGGTTCAAAGGTATAGCGACGTACCAGGTAAGTGTAATCCACTTTAGTCCAAAATCCTATTCATGGCAGATATCGACTCGATATGACCTGTCGATCCGTTGACGCGCTCTATGAGCATTCACGCGTGTAATTTTGCGATTTGTACAAATGAGTACAGGCAACAAGGCCCAGATACTAAGGCGATAAGAAAAACAACAGAGTGCAGTGTTTATAATGCCAGTAATGAAATTACCAGAGTAAAGCTGGGTGGAGCGCATGGCTTAACCTGAGGATAGTACTAGAAAGGCTGTACTAGGTATGAAGTCCCAATGTTTGACACTAAGTGCTCTGACAGGGCACAGCACGCGCGCGCTAAGAATAGCACAGAACACGCTTATGAGATAATTACAACTTCGCGCAATATTGATCTATGACGCGCAAGGCACGGCAGACCCGGAACCTAGAGCTCTAGGCTGTATGATGTCAGAACTCGAGTAAATCCGAGGTTTCTGACTTCGGCCGAAGCGCGCAAGGTCTAGACAAGAGACTCGTGGCCTTCACTACTACCAGAATTCCCTAAAAGAATATATTAAAGCAGAATAAGAGTCGCGCGTAGGCTGCAACTCTGAGGAGATAACAACCGACATCAGTACATGTGGATTAGCACTGTTAACTGACATCGCAACGCTCAGAGACAGGATCTGGCCCCGGGCCAGATTCCTGAGTCAGCGCCAAGCTATGGCGTGATAATTGCAACACGTGCGGGACGCAAGGAAGGAACTCTGCAACCTAAATAATACCATATTTGGTGATACTAATTTGTAGGACATAGAATAGATAAATAGCGCAGTGTAATTGTAGTGTACAAGTTTCGGACCCCCATTGTAGTCGCGCGCAAGCCTCCAGCTTGATGCCGTAGCTTCTGGACTAGTTTGTAACTTCAAGCGAGAGAATAAACCTAGAATTGATATCATACCGAGTGAATTGAGTCGCGCGCGAGGCATAGAAAGCTAACGCAGCGCTTGTGTGACTGTTAATTGGTTGGGTGACTTGCACTCTAACCTGAAAAGAAGAGTATAGTGTTGTTGAGGACGCGCTCTTGTGCTTGGAGGGTTTCTTGTGACGCGAGGCACTACAGGTGGCAGAGGTTCAAACCCTTTGGCTTGTCAGACGGTGTTATAAGGTTTTTGTGTCTCTGGATCGCATAGGTTAGAACCCTGTGGATCTACGATCGGTTGGGAAGCTCGAGCGCGTAGGTTTGAATCCTGTGGCTTTGGTGGATGGTTTTGTGAAGTGTTTCTGCTTAGAGCGCGAAGCTTTGAGTCATGTGTAGTGTGTTTTGAGTTATTGTGGTTACCTGTGTGTGACGTGTGTGACTTATTGAGGGTTTTGTGTGTGTGTCTTTCGACGTCATGTGTATTGTGATTACACCTTGCCTTGAGGCCCAGCGACAACTGTCGCTCCTCTTGTTATTAAAAGCCTTTGGACTTAGAGAAATCGAGATATGTGACGCGCGCTATTGCTATCCATGTGTATCCTATATTCTGAGAGTTTGCTTGCCTTGTCTCTATCTGCTTCTATTGCATCAGAATCCCCCACGAACTTGAGGGTTTGTGTGTGTTGTGTTGGGTGTGGGTGTGATCAGTGTCTTCGATGCTGTTGCATTTCTAGCTTGCGCGCACAGAGTCTCTTCACCGTGCCATCTCAGGGTACTGAAGCAGCCACCGTCGCGTGCCTAAATAGACCTGGTTGAACCCGCACGAACGATGATCCTCGAGAAAGCCTTACCGTTTTCAGAAAGCGTATATGATATACAGTGCTGTTAGGTACAACAGATAGAACTGGCATATAAGTGAGACTCGTGACACGTATCCTAGTGAAGCCTTCAGCGATATTAGGATCCAACAGTTTAGCGAGCGCATACAACCAGTATGTGAATGTATTATTCTCTGGATGAGGTGAGGACAATATCACCGATGTTGACAGGTCCAGTTTCGCGCCCGTCGAGAGTATTCCTGCGACAGATGTTCATTTGGAGGGGAATAAAATGTACTTCTGATCCCAAATGTGGGCCTGGAGAGTTCCAATGCTTGGAAATCACACACCGCAAGTATTACACAATGTAAGCCTTGGCAGAAACAGGCGATAACGACCTTAAAGCTGAGTTGCTGTGATGGGTGGAAAGAAAGCCGGACCAATGCACAGCCACTGAACCTTTGCTTCTTCCTAACCATTCAATGGTTACGTCGCTGGTGCCATACATCGAGTTGTCTGTCAGTCCCCGGGTTCTGAAAACCTGACTAAGTATAGTCACATGGTACTGACCAACATCCAACGTCATCCCCACGCTTGGCTTTTTGGTCTTGACGATGGTGACGTGCATTTGAACACCTCCCGCTGTCTCGGATACCAGCTTATTCATTGCATTCATCACTGCTCACAGCTGACTGTGCAGTCTGAGACTGTATGTATACTATCATCAGACCTAGCGCTGACAGAGTGTTCTCACCACCATGACGGACAAAACCGTTATGGCTGACGATTATCTTGCAAGTCTCAAGAATCTCCCAAAGTTATTGCCAACTGTTGCCATAGAGCAGCCTCAGATGGGGGATGACTGGTGTGGAACGGAGCTATCTCAGGAGGTGGTTGAAGGTGTGTACAACTCCTTCCTTTGTGGGTGTTTACCGACTGTGTTCTTCTGAAGACAAGGACATCTTGATTACCACTGGAGTGGATTCTGTGTCTCCTGCAAAACAGTCCATCGCCCATGCCGTCTGTTATGATTTATTCACTTTTTTCCTTATCTTATCTCACCGGGCCGACCGGACCGTCTATCATAGGGGTAACCGGTCACTTGCTCCAAGAGCCCCACACTATCGCTTCGCTATTGCGTGCTACGTTTCTATCGGATTCTACCCGTTTCTATCTCTCACGAACGACTTATGTATAGACTCACAACTCACAGTATTTAAAGGCTTAGCGCTCGTTGTATATACCCTAGCTTCGAGCTAACATTTAATCTATATCAAACTTCGTTATCTAATCAAAGCCCAGAACTAGTGCCTAGTCTTAGCTCCTTTTGATAAGGGACGTAGCGGTGACTGCCCGAACACGAGACAGCCGCTATCAACTCTTGATTAGGAGTTTGAGTCTAACAATTAGCTCGAAGCTTCACCTAGCTCCCTAACCAGGAGCCTACATGTGGGCCATTCTCGAAATCGTCCTTACAGCAGCCATCCTTGGCGTAAGCCTCGTTATTTACATTACGACCGTTACCCTCGCCTTCCTCTACTGTCTTGGAATATACCCTCGACCACGACGTGTTCAACCCGACAATCATTCCCTCCAATCCCTCGACCTTCATGTCCTCCCACAGCAGCCATCAGTGGTCCACCTCCGCGGGACATCCGTATCCTCACGCCGAGCATCGACGCTCGACGAGCACCCTCGGTTCCACAGGGGAAACGAAGAGATCCATCCTGGGGAAGTGGAAGTCAGTATTCAGGAAGGAGGCGATGGAGATGTTGCCGGAGCAAGGATCCCCTTTATCCGCCTTTCTCCAGACCCGTCCTCTAGCCCAAACACCAGCAATACCCCCCGTCCAGTACGACCTGTTCCTACCTTCGATGCCGCAGACTTGGCAAGATACCTCGTCCGACTTGGACTGGGAGAGGCAGGCCCGCGAGGTTCCCCAGCCACAGAGCAACCTACCAGCCGTTGTACTGGGAGTGCCAAAGTCACCGATCCTCCAACCTTCTCCACGGTCGAGCTCAGCGTCCTTTGGGATAACATCAACCTTCCTACCACCGTCTTCTTCCCGCGACAAGGAAATCCCTATCGAGCAAGGGAGCCAGCAGCAGAGCAGCGTCCTGAGCCTCCCGTTATCCCAATCTCCAGTCTCTCGTCGAACCTCAATCGCTACGCTGCCCCTGGATACTGGGATCAGCCCGTACCAATCACCGAGCAGCCTGCCACTCCCACAGAGTCGTCGCCAGAGTTCGAGCCTCGACCAGAACCGCGAAACAGACTCGACGTTCCCCGCCGAGACAGATCTCCCTCGGTCGACAGCCAGGAACTCACCCAGCGTGACAGAGACAGGCGACAGGCAGCAGCAGAGCGAACAGCCGCATTTAGAGCAGTTGACGAAAGCCATGGATTCCAAAGAGTGGGGATCAACAGCCGAGGAGAAACAGTATACTACTCCGGCGCCAGTACCGAGACCCTCCCCAAGGAGGAGCATCTCAACGGCGTCAGAGGAGGAAGAAGTCCACCCCCCTCTCCCTGGCCACGTCCTG